TCAGTGCTGCTCCACAGCTGAACAAGCCAAATTCCAGTTATTAATGCACAGCAGACTAAACAATTTTTTAGAAAGATGAAGCATCAAGTTACAGCCTTTGGCTATGTGCTGTCCAATATCTACATTATGGATGAATAACATTTGCAATGGTTTAGTGGTCAATATAAACTTTAAAAAGCTGGAGTTCTGTTAAAATAAAAAAAAAATTTATGGACATCATTTGGTTTTGCAGTTTTTTTTTTCCCAACCAACATCATGCTGTAATATTTCCATTCATGTCTTGCTAGATGAAATCCTAGGAGGCAGTTCTGGGGTTGCAAAACACATTCTGGTAGACAATTCAAATAAACGCTCAGTAGAACAAGCTAACAATGCATTTCCTCCTAGCACTGTGCTTTCTAGGGCTGTTGTTTCAAAGGCAGTCCATTCAGGTTGATCCTCCTTTTTGGGGGGGCACAACTTTGGCAGTTTCAAAACATAGTGAATACATAATAGATTTTTTTTTTTTACTTTGGTTGAGACCTCAGATTTCCTGTTACTTCACACCATATATTTTAAACGAGTCTAGAGCATCCAAGGGCCAAATGTTCAAGTGCTGAGTGCACACAGTTGTGGCAAGGGTTTCAAAAAGAATTCAGCTCCCATTTATGCAATCAAATAAGGGCCACATTTTCAAAAGTAGTCAGCACCCAGCCCGCACTGAATGTACTGAATTCTACATAATTTTTTAAAAAAAAAAAGTCTGGCTATTTAATTTGGTGCTGAAATGGGAGCTGAGTTCTTGAAAAGCAGCCCAAAAGAGTGGGTACTGAGCTCTCTTGAAAATCTGTCTGCTACTGTACAATAGGTTGACTCATAATCTTTGCTTGATTAGACAGCTGGACCTTGCCTTTGGTTGTATTATCCTCAAATTTGAGGTTTATATTTTACTTAAAATTGATGTCATTCTTAGCCTTTCTGGTAATAACTATGTGACTTTTGAACACCAGATAAGCATTCCTAAGTATTCTTCTCATCCTATGTCTAAATTTGATTACCTTGAAGTCCAAGAGCTTGGTTGTGAACATTTACCAAAGCAGCCATGAGGTCAGTGGGACTATATTTGTGAGTAACTGCTCGTCAGTGTAAGGGGTTCACAGCCTAGTTCTTAGGTAACCCCCTTCCCATGCACAATTTCTGTGGACCTCTGCCCTGCTGGCTTCTGCTGGTTACAGAAGTACCACAGTGTTCTGAGGAAGTCTGTTCTTGAGATATGTGTGGCTTAGCTGACACCCAGGAGGACTGTGAATCTTTGTGAGAAATCTTTATCTCATGAGGTTGCCAGCCTGGTTTCTAGACCACAAAATTCCATACAAGAGCAGGTCCTCAGCTGGCATAGATTGTCATAGACCTATTGAAGTCAGTGGGCTCATGACAGTTTATACCAGCTGAGGAACTGCCCCCAATAATTGGGTAATTATTCAAAACATCTTCCAGAGGAGCAGACTCTGTCACCCATACTCACACTGAGTAATACCTTTCTCCATTTCTTGCCCGGGGGCTGCTCTTGGTGTAGATGTACCACTCAATCTGTGTAACGATGGCAGAATCTGGCCTTCAATTTTTTGAGATTACTTCATCACTACTGATCACTTCTAAGCTTTTGACATGATGCGATACTTTGTCTCAGTCTCGTATTCTCTGAATAGATGCTGATGATCCATCCTTAGAGGTTTTTAAGGCCTGGCTTGACAAAGCCCTGGCTGGGGTGATTTAGTTGGGGTTGGTCCTGCTTTGAGCAGGGGGTTGCACTAGATGGCCTCCTAAGGTCTCTTCCAACCCTAATCTTTTATGATTCTATGATGCCGCTCTTAGTCAGTGTCTACTTGCTGTATTCATCTGGGTGTGCCTTAGAAATGCTTTGCTGTCAATGCTGTAACCCCTGGCCTAGTGAAACAGATTGAAATAATGCCTAACTTCTTGACCAGTCATGTACCTTCATGAAACATGCCCAGACCTTAGCTGTACCCATTCTCTTCAACCTCCTTTTTCTAGGTTCAGGTATAGGTAGCTCTGTAAAGGAGGGCAATTCGAATTTTTGTCTGTTTGTTTATTTTAATTTTATTTCTGTATTTATTTATTGCTGTTAGCCTGAGTCTGTTACTGTGTGACAGAGGCCAACCTGTGAGCCCATATTAATTCTAGATCATGGCTATTTATGAGATTTGCCAAAAAACCTGATTAACTTATTTCTGAAATCCTGCTTTCTGGTGCAGATTTGATTGTAATGAAACCTACCTTATCTAATATGAATATATCATTGAATAAACTAAGAAAACATTTTATATATTTACTATAGATTCTAAATTGAATATCTCCTTTATGTCGAGGAGAGTTTGGCATTCCTCAGCTTGAGTTACATAACAAAGTAAATTGCATTTTTCAGTAATTAGAGTTATTGTTCATCCCTTTGGATATAAAAAGTGCTCCTCCTTCCTTTTAGAGCGCTTCCAGGCAGAGTGCCAGATTAATCCTTGTGTAACTCCACTGAGTTCAGTGTGGTTACACTAACTACTTTGGTTTGATCCTGAAGCATTGGGTGTCCTCAGCTCTCATTGATGTCAGCAGCTCAGGGTGACCATATTTCCCAAAGGGAAAATGGGACACCACATGAGGCTAGCCTGAGTCTCCCCCCCCGCATCCTTGTATGGGTCCTGCCCCCCCATCCCTGCGTGGGGCTGGTGTCACGGCTTATTCAAGCCCTGCCTGCCCCTCTGCGCGGAGCTGGCATCTCAACTCCACACCCCCAGCATGTTCCTCCGCACCCCACTTTTTTGGCAAAAGTAGGCATTTTTCCTGCTTGCTCTTGCCAACTGATCAAGTTGGCAAGGGCAAAAGGGACAAATACCCACTTTTGCCAAAAAAGTTGGGGTGGCCAGGACAGTGCTTATAAAAGGGACTGTCCCAGCCAAAATGGGATGTATGGTCACCCTAAACTAGCTCCTTATACCAAGATTTCAAAGAAGATGCTTTGAGAGTGTCATGTTTCTGATTCTAGTGGTTGTTAGATAATATAGTAGCTATCAGTGAAAACTAATATATGCACACACATTCACAAAGACTGTTTTTCTTTCCTTTTTCATGTGTATGTTGATTTTTTTTTTAGCATAGATGCTAAAACTATATTAAGGTCCGAATTTTGGCCATTGTGTGCTGGTGGGATTAGTGAGAGTGACACTTGTTTTCATCCTTTATGGGCTGAATTTCAAACAATATGGGAGTTGACAATGACCAAGTATGGTAGCAGGTTCCTGTATGAATGTGGGTCAAAACATACAAAGGAAATAAGTAGTAGTTTGAGCTAGATTGGGAATCATGCAGGGAGGAAAAAAGGGATTATTATTTTTTTTGCTATTTGGATTTAACCAATATGAATTTCCCCCTTGTTGTTTATCCCCTTTGGAGTTCGAATGGATGGTCCGAGTGATATTTACTGATTTGCTATATGTCTGTAGATAGATCTGGTATTTTATAAACCATGCCAGTTTTCCGTTAATATGGTACTGTAGTTATAGTGTCATTTGACTGATGGGGAAACTGAGACAGACAGATTAAAGATCTGCCCCCAAACCACAGAGGGAGGTGGTGTCAGAGCTGACTTAGAATTAGGAGTTCTTGGTTCCCAGTTTTTCACTGAGCAAACTAGACTATCTCCTTGCTGCTGAGGATTATTCTAGACCAGAGGTTCTCAAACTGGGGAATGTAATCTTGGGCAGGAGGGGCAGGGGTGAGAAGCTGCTGGCAGCAGTGTTGACTTCAGAGCTGGGTGCCCGGCCAGCAGCCGCCACTTTCCAGCCACCCAGCTCTGAAGACAGAGTGGAGACTGGCGGCTGCTGGCCGGGTGCCCAGCTCTGAAGGCAGCACTGCCGCCAGCAGCAGTGCAGAAGTAAGGATGGTATAGTATGGTATTGCCTATTCCTTGTGTGGAAGGAGAGGCAGGTGTAAACTACTAGAGACACAAAGAAGGGGAGACCACTGCTCTAGATGAATCAGAAACCTGTGGTCAATGCTGACACTGGAGGTGAAACTTGCAGGGAACATTACAATTGCTTATAAAAAAAACACAAAAAAACCCCCTCAGGATCTTGAAGAGAAGCCTAAAGGCTTTTTCCATACCATTTACCTTCTTGAGCCCCTTCTGGGTGTAACATTAAAGAGAAACCTGTCCCTCTCTTTATTACTCTGGCGAGGGGTGGGGGAGAAGGGCTTCAGGAGTTAGGAATATTTAAATTAATTTGATCATAAATCTTTCAGCATTTTAAATGAATGACAATAAATGTTGACACTTTCTCCATGTTTTCTTGGTGTGGTCAATGTCTCAAAAATCTTTTCATAATTTTTCTGGTATGATTTCAATCTCTCCCTCAAAAAAATAAATCTGGAACCAACTTACTCAATAGTACTTCTCTGCATTACTGCAACTTTACTATGTGTTCCACAGGACAAAAATATGCATGCTTAAGCCAATTTTCAGATAGTTCAGGCACAGAATTGTATAACTAATCTGTGCACTCCCTCCCTCCCTGCAGCGAAACACACACATTGAGTCTTCATGGACGTGCGTCTAATGAACTATTGGCACACAGTTATTGGAGCTTTATGCACAAATTCAGTGATGATTTGTGCAAATTAGGGGTACACATTTGTCCATCTATACTGTCAGGGAATCTGGCCCTTAAAATCTTTCTTAAATCTAGCTGAATGACAGCTGCTACAAATAAAGTGCTGCACGCTTTGTGAAACACCCTTGGCCAAACTCCAGCCCTGCACCTCACATACCATGGCAAAACTCAGTGGCTTTGTTTTGTTTTTAATTCTGGGAGGTTGCGGGGGGAGGGCAAGGAGCAGGTAGATATTTGTGCATCTGCTGGGAAAGAGATGTTGTCTCAAAACGTGTATTCTACTTATCCTTGTTTTACTGCAAAACATCCATTGTAGATCCTTTTGATATCTGTTCTCAGACCAGACTCCTACACCAACCCGATTCCTGAAGAACTGTGAGGAAGTGGGCCTCTTCAATGATATTGACTGTTCCTTAGAACACGAGTTTAGAAAGGCACAAGAAGAAGAGAACAATAAAAGGGTATGTTTTAGTGCAACGGACTCTTTCCCTTTTCCCACCCCCTAAGTGTTTATGGATGTTGTGTGAAAGCAGGTAGACCTCCATTACCTGGTAGAACCTTTTTTGGATGGAAACTAGGTGGCACTATAGATTGTGACATGTTTTCTAACCATTGTAATCATTGATAAAAATGCATAACCAAGCTTAAATCTCCCAAAGTGTCTTAGCCAGCTTTTGATTACTAGGTCCACACTTAAGTAAACCTATGCAAACCACATGCCTCTTGAGGGAGAGACTTGGTAAAATCGAATGTTCTGACAAATAGGAATCAAGCGTGAAATCCTTTCACTTGCTAAAAGATGTTTTGGGGGGATGTGGAGAGGAAGTAGAAGAATGGAATTGGCATAGAAATACCTCTGATCTGATTTCTGCTCTTGTTAAGTATCCCCATTGTGTCTCTAGATTTACTTTTCATCACTCCTAATTTTATCTGATATAGATTGTATTTTTGGTAAAATATTCAAACTCAAGGGGAAAAAATCTAACTTATATGGCAGCGATTCTCAAACTTTAGTAATCCAAGGACCGCCATTTTGATTTTACATTTTTGGGGATCCCCAGATCAGCCCCAGGCGCCACCCCCACTCCACCCCTTCCCCCAAGGACCCACCCTCGCTCCACCTCTTCCCACCCCCTGCTCACTCCATCCCCCCTCCCTCCTTCACTCGCTCTACCCCACCCTCACTCACTTTCACCAGGCTGGGGCAGGGGGTTGGGGTGCAGAGTGCGGGCTCTGGGAGGGAGTTTGGGCACGGGAGAGGGTTGTAGTGCAGGCTCTGGGAGGAGTTTGGGTGCAGGTGGGGGTGAGGGGTGCAAGCTCTGGGAGGGAGTTTGGGTGCAGGAGGGGGTGAGGGGTGCAAGCTCTGGGAGGGAGTTTGGGTGTAGGAGGAGGTGAGGGGTGCGGGCTCTGGCCAGCCAGCTCCCAAAAACAATTGGCATATCTCTCTGGCAGTGGCTCCTAGGCGGGGAGGCCAGGGGGTCTCTGTGCACTGCCACTGCCGGTAGACACTACCCCACAACTCCCATTGGCTGCAATTCCCAGCCAATGTTAGCTGCAGAGTCGGTGCTCGGGGCGGGGGCAGTGCACGGAGACCTGCCTTAGCCCTGCTATGCCACCGGACTTTTAGTGCCTAAAATCTTCCGGTTTGGCTTCAGTAGCCTCCAGGAGATAGGGCGGGGGGGGGAGGAGTTGAGGGAGGTGGAGGAGTTGATCAGTGGGGCCCGCAGACTCCCTGGAGTACCCTCGGGGACCCCCAGGGGTCTGTGGACCCAGTTTGAGAAACACTGTTACAGGGTACAGGTAGAGAGAAACTATAGTTCATTAGATCATGTATCCCATTTCCAGATATGGACCTGGCATCCATAAAGTTAGGAGCATCTACGTCACTTTACAGTGGGCTAAGTATGCTAACTCAACCTGACCCAATATCCTTGCATTTGGGCTATCATAACGCGCGGGTATATTTGAAAGTTAAGGAGAGGTATTTCTGAGAGTTGCAAAGAGGAAGGAGGGAAGCTATGGATTGACTGGGTGATCCCACAGGAGGAGGAGGATGGAAGCCTCACTTTGTTTAGATATGTTTCAGTTCAGGGAAGCAAACAAAAGGTTGGGTGCTTATTTGAAAGTTTTAGCAACTCTCAGAAATACCTCTCCTTAACTTTCCTTTGGGCCCCAATTACCTCTCAGCAATCCTCACTGCTTCCCCCTTAATCTATCACTTGGCAAATAGGATCCCCTACTATTGAACTTCTTGTTACAGGGCCCAGCTAGTCTGATGATGATCTGTATTGTTAGTCTAATTTAGGTCTTAAACAACACTTGAGGCTAAAATAAGGGAGGTGGGAGGGAAACAACTCCCCCTTCACTGCTAAAACCAGCAGGAGGCCCACCCGTACCTCCTAACCCTTGGCTTGGGTAAGCAACAGTCCCCCATAGTGCCCCTGCCTCTTTGGCTGGGGTAGTGAGTGCTCCCAATTCAGGTTTGGTCCACATTAACCACTGTGTGGTGTCGGTCGTGCTGCGCCTTGGCTGCTGCTGAATTCAGAGTGCACAGGCTCTGGGACTGTGCATGCCGAAGTGCACCCCAAACTTATGTAATCTTAAGCAAGCAGCATTAAAGGCCTTGCAGTAGGATCTTTGAGGTACTATAGGACAACTTGTAAAGGACGAGAGCTATGGGGGTTCTTGGAAGGAGACTACAGCCTATTGCTGGGCTGTGAAGAGGAAGATGAGATGTGTTCAAGGGGTTATTTGAGAATGGTTTGGAGGAGGGAAAGAGGCTGGGGTTAGATATTGGAGAGGGAGGAAGGGAGTCCTAGCCATGCTGAGGGCAGGAAGGGGCATGCTCCAAACATGAAAGTGCCTGGGTTCTGGTTAGGGAATGGGAAAATATTCCAGCCAGTTCGGCCATTACAGACTCACGTATAGGATGAGTGTTATGAAACAGCCATGTAAAGAGAGTAAATGTGTCTAATCTTAGATTGATTAGTGCTAGTATGCAGAAAGTTGGCAGAAATAGCAAATTAGGACATTTTTGTGTGTTAATATTTCTACACAGATTATCAGTGCTGAAGAAGATTCCAGTGCAGCACCTACAGTGTGGTATTTATCTTGCAGGAATAAGAGACGAGCAGCAATCTCATGATCTTGGGCCCTGTGAAGTTAACCACAAATGATACAGTATGATGTTGCAGGGTCAGTTTCAGCTAACCAGGGGTAGTTGCACAATCTGATTAAAACCTAGACTAGGGCATCATGTTACCTGATAATTGCCAGTTGTTTGAGGTCCTCTGGAGGTCTTATTCTGCCCTCCTTCTGTCAGCCACTGGAGCTGCCATGAGCCATCTCCAGGGAGCAAAATGTGTGTTTTTCAAAAGAAAAGCAAAAGTCACAGAGGCAAGTTAACGTGTAACATTTGTTCTGTGTTTCCAATTAGCCTGCTACACATTCATTCCTACATTACCAACTGCCTGTAAGATATTAATCTGAAGCTGGCCCCACTAGGGCCATACGCAAATGCAATAGACAAAGGATACAAAGGAACGTGACTCCTTCACATGTAATACTCATGAAATGCTCTTAATAGTCCCACTCTGAAGTGCAAATATAGCTTTCTGCAGCCTTCTGCAGTGATGGTAAGTAGGTTTAATGTGAGCAGCCCAGAGATGTTATGCATGACTGAGAAAAGGCTTCCAAAATATTTTGGATTAGGAGATTCTTTTACATCGGACTATGAAAAAATATATGTTTATTTTAGTTTACTTCACAGTGGCTAAAGAGAAAACAGCATGACACAGAGATCCTATGAGAAAGAAGACAATTGTTTTTTTTTTAACTTGCAAGTTTCCTTATTTGAAAACTTCAAGGCTACAGTCCAGTAGATTATTTTCTTTTTAAAACATGAGACCATGTGCAATCCACAGAGTCATAGAAATGTAGGGCTGAAAGGGACTTTGAGAAGTCATCTAGTCCAGCCTGCTCTGCTGAGGCATTACACCTAGGCCATCCCTGACAGGTGTTCATCTAATCTGTTGTTAAATACAGGCAGGCCTCGACTTTACGACATTTGAGTTACGACAAACGGTACTTGTGACGCTTCTACATGGATACCTTGATTCGACTTACAACTACAGGTTTCGAGTTTACAACACTCGGTCCAGCAATGGAGTAGATTGCGGTTCTGAGTTCCAATTTACAATGCAATTGTAAGGAACTAATTGTGTCATAAGTCTGAGGACTACCTGTATGTTCAATGACAAGGATTCCACAGCCTCCCTCGGAAGCCTATTCCAGTGCTGAACTATTTTTATAGTTAGAAAGATTTTCCTAATATCTAACCTAAATCTCCCTTGCTGCAGATTAAGCCCGTTACTACTTATCCTACCTTCGGTGCACATGTAGAACAATTGATCAACGTCCTCTTTACAACAGCCCTTACATATGTGAAGACTGTTATCATGCTTCCACCCCCCACCCCACCCCAGTCATCTTTTCTCAAGACTAAACTTTAACCTTTCCTCATAGGTCAAATTCTCTAAACCTTTTATCATTTTTGTTGTTCTAGTCTGAATGTTCTCACATCCTTCCTAGAGTGTGGTGTGAAGAACTATATGCAGTACTCCAGCTGCGGCCTCACGAGTGCCAAGTAGAGTGGGAGAATTACCTCTTGTGCCTTACTTATGACACTCCTGTTAATACACCCAAGAATGATATTAGCCTTTTTTGCAACTGCATCACATTGTTGACTCATATTCAATTGATGATCCACTATAACCCCTAGATCCTTTTCAGCAGTACTACTGCCTAGCCAGATATTCCCGCATTTTGTAGTTGTGCATTTGATTTTTCCTTCCTAAGTGTAGTATTTTGCACTTGTCTTTATTGAATGTAGTTTTGTTGATTTCAGACCAATTCTCCAATTTGACAAGGTTGGTTTTGAATTCTAATTCTGTCCTCCAAAATGCTAGCAACTCCTCCCAGCTTGGGGTAATCCGCAAATATTATACGAATACTTTCCACTCCATTATTCAAGTCATTAATGAAAATATTGACTAGTACCAGACCAGGACAGATCTTTGTGGGACCTCACTAGATATATCCTCCTCCCCCGCCAGTCTGACAGCAAACCATTGGTAACTACTCTTTGAGTACAGTCTTTCAATCAATCTTTCACCCACCTTATAATAATTTCATCTCTAGACCACATTTCCCTAATTTGCTTATGAGAATGTTATTTGGGACTGTGTCAAAAGCCTTATTAAAATCAAGGTATATCACGTTGACAACTCTACTCCTTCCCCCCATCCAGTAGGCCAATAACTGTGTTAAAGAAGGAAAGTAGATTGGTTTGGCATGATTTGTTCTTGACAAATCCATATTGGCTATTCCTTATAACCCTGTTATCCTCTAGATGCTTACAAACTGATTGTTTAATAATTTGTTCCAGTAGCTTTCCAGGTAT